AGAGCATCAACCCGCAGTCAAGTCGTAGTATGGTCAACAGTGATGGATTCGGATATCTTCTATGTGAGCTTGTTACAGACAGACATGGTAAGCACCATCAATAAATTGACTATTAGGTATAGTTATCGGGATATGTACATGGCTGAGAGGTTCAGCAGTCCTGGGTCGGCGGTGAGTCTTGTGTCCCCCCCTCCCTTTTTTTTCTTTTTTTCTTCCTTTTTTTTTTTTTTGACAAGAGACCAAAAAGGTTGATAATATGGGGAACAGTACTGGGCTTGTCTGGCGTTTATCTGTCTCGCCGTCCCCGAGACGCACCCCTTTTGGACTTCGGAAGAACAAGACCACTGGGGTGTGCTGCCCCCGGTGAAGGCTCTGCCTCAGCCGGGCCACATCATGGTCAGCCTCGGAACACACACCTTCCTCCTCTCCTCCGGCCAAGCCTGCTCCTACCCCATGAAAGGCACCCACGCCAAATACGGCGGCTTCGCCTACTCGTCCTCCTACGCCTACTCCGTCCCCCCCGGGCTCTTCACACTGGAGCAATACGCCCTAGCCTCCCAACTCGGCCTTTCCGACGACGGGGGCGAGTACTGGAAAACCAGACGGCTGTCAGCCTCCCAGCTCAAAACAGCACCAGATGGGACCCCGTTCCTCATCTCAGAGTGGAAGCCTTTTGTGGATGTCCACGTCAAGACGTATCTCCTTCCGCCTGTTCCAGGAGCGACGGAGAACTACCATTTCCGGGTTCATCACATCTGGGCCGAGGGAAGGGAGGTCATGACGGCTGATGGGAGTTTTGCCATCTGCAATGAGTCGACGCTGCGGGAGTCAAAGGGGCGGTATTTGGATTTGTGGGATGAGTCCAAGGGGGAGGGGACGAGTCCAAAGCTGATTGGGAATTATGATCTTGCTACTCCTGAGGCGTGGGCAGACGGCCAAAAGGGGGCGTTTGCGGTTCATAAGACCAAGGGTGCGGTCGGGATCAGGGCTTTGGAGGGCGGGAGTATAAGGAAGGCGAACTTGGTGAATGCCGACCCCAACAGCAACCTGGTCGAGAGCAGGACTGCTATCCCGACGTTGCAGGGGACGGTGAAGAAGGGGGAAAAGGTTTGGTATGTCGGTGGGATTTATGCCCGCCCGGGCGGGAAGCCAGAGGAATTTCTGAGCGGGTGGGACAAGATTCCCGAGCTGCCGGGGTGGCTGAAGGAGGAGATTGAAAAGTCATCTTGAGGTCCGAGTCGGGTAATGAAGTTATGATTTGAAAAGTAACAAGAACGCTAGGTGGTTGAATGAACCAGATTATGCAAATATGCAAGAGATACGTGTGAATCCCCTTGTTGAATGCTCATGTGCCCCCTTTTTCAGTTTTCGAGACCAAGAATCCACTCAGGAAGCCTTTGCAAAGTCATGGATAAACTTGGCCAGCTTCTCGGCGCCTTCCAGAGGGATGGAGTTGTAGTTGGAGGCACGGATGCCGCCGACGCTGCGGTGGCCCTTGAGACCAGTCAAGCCCAAGACGGTGGCAGCCTTGAGGAAGCTCTTTTCGGTCTCGTCTGTGTCTCCGTTCTGGGGTTCAGAGTTAGCATCAAGCTTCTTGGTCAACTCATGGGAAGCTAAAACTCACCTTTGTCACCCTAAAGCAAATGTTCATCTTTGACCTGACGGTCTTGTCAGGAACAATGCGGTACACATCTGGGTGGGCCTCCAGAGCGCCGTAGATGAGAGAAGCCTTCTTCTCAGCAACAGCCTGTTGGCCGTCGACCTTGTCGGGGTAGGTGTTGAGGAGCTTCTTGAGCACCTGACCGGCAATGTAGACGCTGTCTTCCGTCAGTACGCTCTCAGGGATGGCTGGGTAACAGGCATACTCACTCAAAGATGCTCAGAGTGTTGTACAAGCTGTTGTTTTTGGCAACAATCTCGTACTGCAAGATGATGGGGGGAATTGGCAAGCCGAGCTTCCTGAGAAGGGGAGCGCTGGGCTGGACCGCGTGAGGGGGGAGGAAGCTCTTCTTGAGGATGGCAACAGTGACACCAGTAGAGCCGAGGTTTTTTTGGGCACCAAAGAAGATGAGAGAGTAGTTGTTGACTGGGATGCGGCGGGACAGAATGTTGGAGGACATGTCAGCCACTACGATAGGACCGTTTCCGTTGGCATCAGGGGTGAGGACCAAAGGGAAGGCCGGGAACTCGACGCCGTCGACTGTCTCGTTGTCGCAGAAGTAGACATAGGCGGCGTCCTTGCTGAGCTTCCATGTCGACTCATCGGGAATCTTGCCAAACTTGCCATCGTTGATGGTGCGGGCGTCAGCAACGAGGTTGACATACTCGGGGCCCAAGAGTCTTTGAGCTTCTTGGTAAGCCTTGAGGGACCAGCCACCGGTGACGATGTAATCGACCTTGAGCTCTGTCTCGACCTTCTTGCGGAGAGCAGCCAGGATAGCCTCTTCATCATCACCGAGCTCCTTCTCGAGAGCGGCGTGTTGTCTGCTCACCCAGGCGCCAACAAGGTTGTAGACTGAGGCGGCGAACTCTCCGGTACCACCGGCTTGCATGAAGATGACCTCATAGTTCTCGGGAGAGAACTCGAGGTAGTTAGCCAGGTCGGCCTTGGCCTCGTTGATGATTTTGGTGGCCAGCTCAGAGCGATGACTGTGCTCGGCGATGCCGAGACCAGTGCCATTGTAGTCGAGGAGGGCCTTGGAGGCAGCTTCCAGGACGTCGGTGGGAAGGGCGGCAGGGCCGGCGCCAAAGTATGTGATGTCGGCGCGAGAAGGCATTTTGATGTGTGTCTTGTAGCACAAGAGATTTATTACAATGACTCTTTCCAAGAGTTCTCTCGTCTTCAGTGGATGGCGGGGCATCTTTCTTTTATGAATGTGGACCCCGCATCGCCCACCTCGCTCACCCACTCCCCTGTCCTGTCTGGACCCTAAGCCAGCCAGTAACGCAACATGACAGTAGGCGATCCGAAACCGGGGCTTTTCTGTCAATGGAAAGCTGCCAGAAATGACGCGACTCGTGCCTTTTCCCCAGACTTTTACGCAAGTGTTTTACAGGGGGTTAATGTCAGTCGCAGTGGCTTCCCGTGGGGCGTGGGGTTGTTCACAGGGCACCAGGGGAATCATTGCCTGCCGGAAGAGAACCTTTTCAGAGGGGGTTGAGTGGATGTGGGGGTCTTGCAGCGCCGAGACCGTTTGATGGCGGGGTTGCTCTCTGTTCATGTTTCTCCAGACATATATCCGCATGAATAGGATGAAAGATGAGCTCAAACCTTGGTGAGTTGGCTGTTATATGTGAGGTAGAGGTGTAAAGAGTGGAAGACACTCGGCGGTAAACAGCCGGAGTTTGATCTGACATCCGAGGGTTTGCTCACCTTGGTCGAGGGCATAAACAAAGCATATGCGGTAGAGGTGTGTCGTTGACCGAAAGAGTGTCATTGGAGGAAGATCAATTGTCAAAGAATTGGTAAGGGACATACTTAATCCGCAACATACAACCTACACTCCTCCAAAGGCATTGGATCTCCAAGTCACCGTTGATATGTCACCCCTGTCGATGACACCCGCTTGAGCCTCATCGTTCTCTCGGGCCCAGACATCTGCCGTGATCCACCAGCCGAAGCTTAGGCACCGTTGACTGGCAGGGATGCTTGCTATCACCACCACCACCACCACCACCACCACCACCAACCTGCTGGGTGGTGCTTGGTCAGGGGCATAAATAAGTGTTCGGGTCCCTCTCCCGACCTCGGATGAGAAATATTCCCCCAAGTCGTTGGCCTTTAACTTGTCTCGTCCAGTTACCTATCACACCGTCACCAGTCTACAATACCCATGAGAGTGGAGCGCTAGACTTATCCGCCAACACTCCCTCCCGCCTTGTTCCTGTCGCTTATTCCACTCCAGCCGCTGATCGCCTACCATGGCCGACACTCGAAAGCCAGCCGAAGCAGGCCCGGCAAGACACTCTCACGGCGCACCATCAGCTTCGTTCCGTGCGTGTGCCCACCTTGTTTTGGATTTAGCTCTACCCCTCTGTCGCTTGTCTTCCTGCCCCGTTGTCCTGTTCCCGAACACGAGCTTCGTCCTGACCCCCACTCATCGCTCATCTCACGGTTTGAATTTCATCGTCTAATGGATCACACAGCAACCCACAACTCGCCACGGACGTGGTTTCTCACATCCTCGCTATCACCGCTATGTATACGGTTGATCCGGTTATTACTAGCACACGGTGACTACGTGGTGGCCTGTCTACCACCGGCAGAAATCGAAAACGACGACAGAAGCGCCGAGTTCCGTGAGCTCATCAACGAATGCAAGAGCAACCGCAAAGACCGCGAAGGATGGAAAGATCGAATCAGGGGTATCCGGTGCGACGGCCGGGTAATGGGGCAGAGTGGTGCTGCCATAGCGGAAGCCGTCCAAGTCTTTGGCCGAATTGATATCTTGCTATGTTGCAAGTTTGAAGGTATCTCACATTCCCCATCTCACCTCTCCCATGCCCTCGCTCACATTTCCCACAGCTGTCATCGGCACGGTAGAAGAACTCTCCACCACCCCCCGGACCCGCAACCTCGTCCGCGACCAGTTTGAAACTATCTTCTTCTCCCAAGTCAACTTTATCAAAGCCGCCCTTCCCCAGTTCCGCGCTCAGCACACAGGTCACATCATCATTCTCACTAGCATCGGCGGGCATATCGGTACCCCGGGCATGTCGATCTACACCGCCGCCACCTGGGCCCTCGAAGGCTACTGCGACTCCTTGGCCTACGAAATCGCCCCCTTCAACATCAAGGTCACTGTTGTCCAACCCAACAAGGAGATCCAATCCCTCACCAACAAGATCGTCTTCGCGCCTCAGCTACCGTACTATGACTCTGATGTGAACCCAGCACCGTCGGTGAGGGAGATCTACGGGAATATGCTGAACGCCAACCCAGAGACGGCGATTGATCACCTCGTGGGAGCGGAGGAGAGGCCGGATGATATACAATATCGGTATCCTAAACTGCCGGCGGCGGCGTATGACAAGCTGGTGATGGAGACGGTGCATGCCTTGACGGCCATTGGGGGGCATGAGAACCCGCCGGCGAGGCATATTGTTGGGTTTGACGGGGCGATTGCTGTGAAGGAGAAGTTGAAGACGGTGACGGAGGAGTTGGAGGATTTTGTGGAGGCGAGCGTGGCGGTGGATATTTTTGATAGTGAGCTGAAGAAGGAAGCGAGGCAAGGGGGGGAAAATAGGGAGGGGGGAGGGGGTGGGCAGGGGAGGTATATGAGCGAGGATGTGCAGATAGGGATGATGTGAGTGATAACAGTGCTTGTAAAGGGAATAGTATGTATATAGTTAGGTGTTTGATATCAAGGTAGATAAGGAAAAGCGAGGTTATGGCAGATAACTAAGTACTGTTTAGTGATTTTTTGTATTCTTATTTTTTATTTTATTTTATTTTATTTTATTTTATTTTATTTTATTTTATTTTATTTTATTTTATTTTATTTTATTTTATTTTATTTTATTTTATTTTATTTTATTTTATTTTATTTTATTTTATTTTATTTTATTTTATTTTATTTTATTTTATTTTATTTTATTTTATTTTATTTTATTTTATTCTATTTTATTTTATTTTATTTTATTTTATTTTATTTTATTTTATTTTATTTTATTTTTTTAATTATTTTTTTTTAAATATTTTTTTAATTATTTTTTTAATTAATTTTTTTTTAATTATTTTTTTAATAATTTTTTTAATTATTTTTTATTTAAATTTTTTTTCTTGGTTTTTTTTAGGGTTTTTTTTTATTCCACGGCCGTCTGGAGCTCGGTATATAGGATGATGGAATAGCTATATACGTGGTCATGAAGATGGTCTGGTGGTCTACAGCGATCCAGCCAACAAAACGTTTTTTGTTTTATTTTTCCATCAAACGTCTCGACAGCTCAAAAATTGGACCCCTTTTCGATGCCCTTGAGGATTCAGGGGCACCCGTTGGGTACAAGTCCCCCGTGGCTGAAAATAGCGGGCCAATTATAGCGACCATAGCTCCACCAAGGTCACACCTCCCCGCCGTGGCACGAACCTAGCGGCCGACACCCCCCCATTGGCATGGGCTGGCATCGCATTGCATGTCATTAAAACAAGTCCACCCCGGGCAGGCATCGACAAGGCCCAAAATCAGGAGCTCTCTTTTCCTTACGTCAACTTTGAGGTCGGTCAGCTGTGTTCACGGCAACGGACATACCTATCTATCACGACGAACGCACTGTGCTCGACGCGACCGACCCCTACAGCTCCGAAACACACCTCTCGACAAACAGGAGCTCCTCGACATGTCCCTGCCCCCTTCGCCATCATGACTCTCGATCCCTTCATACCCATCGCCCCGGCTAGGATAAAAGTGCTGGTGCTGCCCATCGGCCACATCAAACGGGAGCGCTTCACCGCCTTCGTCAACCGCCTCAATGAAGAGCACATTGTCCACCTCCGGGACGTCACGCCCGACAGCCGGCCTCACAGAAGTACGCGCACTCTCCATACTCTCTCCGCGCCATGGCACAACCAACTAACGTGATGTTTTCCCTATTCAGACATGTTCTCCCCCCTGGCCTTCCCGGGAGGCGCAATGTTCTACGAGCTCATGACCCACCAGCCCTCCCCTTCCCACCTCGCCCTCTCCCCCTTCGACCTCTGGCGCGAACAGCTAGCCGTGATCGCCATTGCCGACGGCACAGAGCTAGGCGCCTCAGTCTTCAACAAACGCCACTCCGGCGCCGGCGGCCGAACGGTAGAAGAAACCAACATCCGAACCCTCTACCAAGACCTCGAAAACCTCCGAGACCAATACCCAAAGATGCTCGCCCACCAGGTCCTCATCTTTGACTACCTCCCCGCCGGGGAGAACCCGATCCCCATCCCAGAAGGGATAATCACCATCCCCCCACCCGACAAGCTCAAGCGCACAACCATAAAGACGGTCATGTGCGACGTGTCCTCCATCATCCTCGCCGAGATGACCACCCTGGCCAAGTCTTTTGAGGGGCTATCCCACATCGACTCACCCGGTGTTCACTCTTCGGCCGCCCAAGACAGGATGAATGGTTTGGTGGGACAGGATGGGATGGCCAGGAGGAACTCGCAGTTTGCCCTCCCCGGCGGCAGCCGGTCCGTCTCGGCGACCGCTCTGGCAGATCGCGGCCACCACGCGCGCATGTCGATGCCTCCTGTTTCGTCCTCCAAAACGGCGTCTTTTGGCGGCGGCGGCGGGTCGAGTAGTTCTACGCCGTCGGTGAGGCCTACTACTCCTATAAGCGGGAACAAACCACTTCCCAATCCGCCGCTCTACACGTTTGACAATATCATTGGTCCCGCCTCTTCGGACCAACCACCAGCACGATCCGACCCAACCGATAGCTTTGGCAGTCATGACAAAGTTTCTGTCCAAGGTTTTGGCTCGGGGGGTATGGACGCGAGGATAAGGTCCAAGTCTCGGTGTCGTATCCAGGTTGTCATTGGGAGTTTGTACCTCCAATCCGGCCTCTGGTCCAACGCGCTGAAGGAGCTGACCGAAGCGGCCACGGTGGCCAAGTCGATCAACGATCATGTCTGGCACGGGAAAGCGCTGGAGTTGTGTCTAGTCTGTCTGTTGTTGCTTGGATGGGCGGGGATAGAGTTTGCGATCCCTAGCGTGCTGCTCCCGCCGGGTGACAAAGGGAGCGGGATAGCGCAGCAGATCAACGAGGCGGAGGCAAAAGACCCGAGGCAGGAGAAGTGGCTGAGGCATCTGCAGTGTTACATACCCGAGGTGGTGGAGAGGATACTGGGGTTGTACTCGAGGCTGACGGCCGAGTGTTTGCCGCCTGTGCCGTGGAGCGAGGCGGTGGTGAGGTTTGCGAGGATGTTGACTGCGCTGCACGTGGCTGGGGGGAGGTTGGGGAGGGAGAGCTTGGGGATGATGGTTTTGGGGGTGGAGGAGGGGGAGGGAGAGGGGAAGGGAAAGGGGAAGAGGTTGCTGACCACGAGTCCGAGGTTTACGGTGAACCCGACGAGGACGGTGATTGTGCAGATGGTTTTCAGGGCTTTTCCTGCCAGTGCGGCGAGCGAGTTGCTGATGACTGTGGATCGGGTGACAATTCTGAGCGGGATTGCGAGGGTGCTTGGGATGTTGGGGTTTCAGAGGAAGAAGGCGATGGTGGTGAGGGAGTTGGTCAGTGTGCTGATTGGGGGGCTGGTGGAGGCTAGGACGAGGGGGGCGGCGGACGTGGGGATCCATCCGGCGGCTGGGCTGGTTGGGTTGAATGGGATGAATGGGGGGGCGGGGGGTGGTGGTGGGAGTGGTGCGGGTGCTTTGGATTTGGCAGAGGGGGATGTTGAGAGGGGGATTGACGAGTTTTTGGGGGTGTTGCTGAGGACGTATGGGGTTGTGGGGGATGTGGGACAGGCTGGGAAGGCGAGGGAGAACATGCAGGTTGCCGTGACGGATGATGATGAGAAGACTACGACGACGAGGGACACGAAGGATACCGACTTGGAGGTTGTGGCGAGGATTCAGAGGCAGTCGGCCGCGAGGTTTTTCGGCATGCAGACTGTCAAGTTGAATATCCTGAGGTCGTGCATCAACTTCAGCGAGGCCTTGCCTGACTTTGCGGGAGTGTTGAAATACTCGAGCGATCTTTTGAGGACGGCGGGAAGTGGGATTGCGCCTGGTCCGAGGAGGGAGGATGCTTATCCTGCGATATCGAGGGAGGAACAGGTTCGTCTGATGGCCAATATTCTCAAGACGTCGAACTTGTCCAAGAGGATGGGCATTGGCGAGCTGGCGGCTGAGTACTGGGACGAGTTTCTGCTCAGAGGCATAAGGCTGGAACCTTTGCCTGTCACGAGAACGCCGGTTGCGCACGCCAAAACGGTCTTGCCTGGAGCGGCGACTGCTCGGGCTTCGCAGGATGTGGACCCATTTATTTACAATCCCTTTTTGAAGCGACCGGACACTGCCATGGTTGAGTCGACGTTGGTTGCTGGTGAGCCAGCCACCTTTCGGCTGACACTCCAGAACCCTTTTGAAATGGAGGTGGACATTGAAAGTGTTCGTCTCGACACGGAAGGGGCCGATTTTGAATCAGGTGTCGAGCACACTATTATTGGACCCTATCGGACGCAAATCTTGAGAATATCCGGCACACCAAAAGCTGGCGGGACCGTCAAGGTTACGGGCGCGGTGATCAAAGTGAGAGGCTGCCGGGAGAGGCGGTTTCCCATTTTTGTTGAGCCTTGGGCCCCTGACAATGAAACCAGAACAAAAGCTTCTGGGATCACTGCCCTTGAGGCGAACATGGTTGCCGTGTCACCGGCTGTCGAGCGTTTGAAGCCCTACAACTTTGACCTCAAAGTCATCTCTCCACAGCCTACTGTGGTAGTCAAGTCGTCTACCCTCCCTCAGTCCTCGGTGATGATCTTGGAAGGGGAAAGGCAGCGGTTTTCAGTCACCTTGCAAAACCTGTCACCTGACACTCCTGTTGATTTTCTTTTGTTTTCTTTCAAAGATTCGACACAGGAACCCCTTCAAACCGCACTCAACAGCCGCGATGCCACGGCCACGGAGCTCTACGAGTATGAGCTCATCCTGGCCAAGAAACAGGCGCTCCGTCTCCGCAACCGTGCCCGCAACGACCGGTTTATCGCTCCCGGCCAAACAGCCACATTTGACTTTGAAATCTTGGGCAAACCTGGTCTGACGCACGGTCTGATCCAGGTCGACTACGCGCACTTGGGTGTGCCCCCGGATGAGATCGCCGAGCAGTTCTACACCCGCCAAGTCTCGATGGAGCTGACTGTGACGGTCAACGCCAGTGTTGACATCAGCCGGGTGGACGTCATACCGTTGAATAGCTCCATCCCCGAGTCGCTTTGGACCAAATCCCTGGATAAAACAACCCAACTCCTCACCCCGGAAACGCACTGCCTCTTGCTCCTGGATCTAAGGAACTCCTGGCCGAGCCAGATGACGGTGTCGCTATCATCAGGCGGCGGGGAGAATGACAGGCCGATCGGCATGGAAGAACATATACTGCCGGGTAACACCACCCGTCTTGTCCTGCCCATCAGGAGGGTTTATCTTGAAGACCCCCACGCTTTCATCCCGGCGCTCAACCCCTCTCGCCAGAGGCAGTTTGTGGTTTCGACCAAGATTTCCCCCGAAGCCGAAAAAGCAAGCCGCGAAGCGTTTTGGTATCGGGAAAAAGTCCTTGATTCGCTCCGGGGGACGTGGAAGACTTTTACAGGCAAGACGAGAGAAGGGGAGATTAGCTTTAGGGGGATGAGGTTCAACAGCAAGATGGTCGATGTGATCAGGGTTGATGAGGTTGACATTGATATCTCCCTCTCTGGGTCGGGGGAAAGGGAGGGGGGGAAGGAGGGGAAGGCATACGTCGACGAGTTTCTGGAGCTCAAAGTAAGGGTTGTCAACCGGGGGAAAAGGCCGGTGTTGGGGTTGTTGAGGCTCATGCCTGTGCTTTGCCATCGGCCGTTTAATGTCTCTTTGGATTTTACGAGGAAGATGGCAAAGTTTGCGTGGAATGGGAACTTGCAGTTTCCGATTGGACGGGTGGCGGGGGATGGCGGGGTGAGGGAGGTGAGCATGGGGGTTACGGTTTTGTGCAGGGGGGCGTTTGAGATTGGGGGGAGTGTGGAGGAGGTTGTGCCGTATGTGGAGGAGGAAAACGGGGAGGGGAAGAAGGAGGTGGAGGATTTTGGGTTGATGGTTGCCGGCGGGAGGAGGAGGGAGAGGAGGGTTTGGCATGCTAGGAGGGGGTGTAGAGTTGTAGTGAGGGATCGGCCTGAGGAGTAAAGGGGGTGTAAACAGAGGTTGGGTGGTGTGTATATATATATATATATATATAAGAGGGGGTATCGACAAGTACCACGTTTGTGGTCATGAGGAATGAAAAAGTGAGAGATTAGCTTGTATGATTTCACTATTGTTGTTGCCCCCGCCTCCGAAAGAGAGCATCATGCTATTTCCACAGCAGTCCAGATTCTATCCTACTTTTGTTCATCCCACCCTATTATCCCAACCACAAAAAAAAACGCCATGCTAATTCAATTTTCCCAAAAACACCAAATATTATTAACCAACAACCCAATGTCCTTACATAACCCCACAACTCCCCCTCACCACCTCGGGCACCACATCCTCCAGCTTCGGCACCGCCATCGCAGTATGATACCACTCCAAATGCTCCCTAAACTCCTCCACGCTCCCAAACCCCTTGTCGTCCATCACATACTTCATCTCCCCCGAGTCCTCCCCCTCGTCCAAATAAGTGTCCTCTTCACAGTAGGGACATACAATCCCCGCCTGCCACTCCCCCGGCTCGGGGGGCATGTGGTTCGCTATCGCCAACGGGCAAACACCAGTGTCTTTGGCTCGTTGGCTGTGCATGACAGCCCGGAGGCTTGCCAGTGGGGGTAGCCATTGTTGACCGTTTTGGAGTCGTATGCTGGTGATAATGGGTCTGGTGGGGGTTGTTGGGGGAGGGTAGATCTGACAGAGGGCATGGTGCGGAGGTAGGGCCAGACGAGGTAGCCGTTGCAAAAGTCGCAGATGAAGGCTGCGTCGTTGAAGGGGGACTCGGAGGGGTTGCCGCTGTTGAGGCGTTGGAACCGGCCGATTTGGTTGCATTTTGGGACGAGGGATTCGAGGGAGGGGGGGCGGCGGAGGGGGTGGTGTTTGGTGGTGATTTGGGGCATGGTACTGTCCGGGGAGGTGGGGGATTGGATGTTGTGATCTGGGCGTTGGTGATGATGGGATTGTTGCTGCTGCTGCTGCCAGGGCGGCAGGGCTTCTCTCTGCTTTTGGAGGCGTAACCTTTCTGCTTCGTTTCGTTTCTGGAGACGGTATACTTGTGTTGCGCCGAGGCAGCGGGGGGTGGGCTGTTCTGCTATCAGGGAGATTCGTCGGGCGGCGCGGCATTGGGCGCGGTGGAGGTCTTTTCGGAGGGAGGAGGTGTCGCGCGCCCAGATGGGGTTTATCGGGCCGCCTTGACGGGCCCAGGATTTGAGGTTTTCGTAGTGTTCTTGGAACTGGGCGAGGAGGAGGCGGAGTTCGTTGAGGGATTCGGCTGTGAAAGGAGGGCATGGCTAGTTAGGATATCTCAGGGGAAGAGATGTGGGGAAGAAGAGACACAAGAACATACGTATCCTGTCGTTCTCGTAGTAGAACTGGCCGCGCACCAGCTGTCCCATTTCCTGAAAGTCCTTCTTTGCCTCGTCGAGTGCGTCCTCCAACGCGCGCGTTTGTTCGAACTCGTCGGGTCCCCAGTGACGCTTGTCGGCAAACATGAATAGTCGCAGCGCATCTGTCAGACATGTCCCAATGGCGGCCAGAAGAGAGCCGACTGTGTCTGAACTTGCCCCTCCTGCGCGCTCCCCGTGAAAGCCACTGACAACGCTGCTCTTGCGGCTGCTGCCGCCGGCAGCGTTACTCATCTCTTGCTCGCCCGCCAATGTCTAGCCAGTTCGACTTTTCAATCTTTGCGCCGGTCAACTATTGGAGGTGTCGAAGGAGGTTCGGTTCGTCGTCACAAGCCGGGACTTTGTGCTGGTTGCACCAGGTACCTGTCAGTAGTTTGCCGAACGGGACTTGGGCCCGTGATATATTGTTTAAGCAAGACTGGTTCGTCCGAAACAAACAAACACCTTTCCTTCTTCTACTATCTTCCACCGAGTCTTGTCGGGGTCTTGTCGAGGTCTTGTCCAACGCGCCGGGTGCCGGGTGCCGGGAATGATGTCGATTTATGGGGTCCCTTGTAGAGGGTCCTCTCTAGGGGGGGGGGGGGTTGCTTAAGGTTGGCTTGGCAGTGGGCACCGGCAGGGAAGCAGCAGTCTAGTTCGGCGGCCTCGGACGCTAAGATAAGCGATAAGATTTCGTGATGCTGATGGCGGGGGTCGTGTTTTCTCGTGTCGTGAGTTAAAGTGTTTCTACTTTGGTTAGGAACAAGAGATGATGGTCTTTATTAGGGAGTTGGAGTTGAAGAAGCGAGTTGAACAGCTGACTGTAGCTCCATGCAGACAGTAAACGCCATCACAGACCCAACTGCACCTATCGTTGGACCGCATGCTATGTAGAGACAGGTGCATAGTAAGTAGTACATAGCTTACTGCGGCATGGGTTTAAAAGGGGAATGCCATGCGTATTTTTGCCATTAGCATTGTCCAATTAATTCTCAACCCACCTTTGAGCCCCTCTCGCTGTGCCGCACCTGAGGCCGATCAGCAGCCTCAGCCCTACGAGACGAGGCTCGAGATGTTTATCTCCGTGACAGCACTGCGGATCAAGAACATCTTACGGAGTATTTGTACATTAGTTCCTGGCACCCAAAATAGCTCCGGCCCTGTCGGGCCCTGTCGCGACATCTCAGCTATGTATTCGAGTTTGTCATGTCGTAGCGAAAGCGGAGGTAAGAAGACGGTCGGAGACATGTGTGGGTTAGGGTTGTGGCCGCGTAAGACCCGGGCCCAGACCGGAGTATTCAGAATTCCTTGTGACAAACAAAAGAGGAAAAAAAAAAAAAGGAAAAAGGTCCCATTGATGGGTTGAAACTTTTCGGTATCTCATACATCTTTGCCACCTGCCAAATTATCTTGATCTTTTTTTTTCTTTTTCTAAATCAGTTTTCCTTGCCGGTCCCTGCAGTATGACTTCATAATTTCAGTTTATTTCTTCTCTTCGTGCATCTGCTGGGCGATATACAGAGTCGGTCCCACGATTTTCTCGGCTCGGTTTCACTCGCTTATCATTCAATTCTTCGGCGGTTTATGAGCGGTTAAACCCGGCCATTCGGTATCAGTCGCTCATTGGAGGGAATAGCTTCAAAAGACACACAAATCTGAGGCAGGAAAAGAGGAAGAGGAGGATAGGGTAAGCGGAAATAAATGAAGATGCAGCCAGGACAGCAGCAGCCTTCACGAAAGCGGATCCTTTTCCTGGACGCCTACGACTCGTTCTCCAACAACATCACGTCGTTGCTGCAGACCCTCTTGGATGTCGAGGTTTCGGTCTTGCATATCGACTCGCCATCGCTTTTTCCTTGGGGCATTGATTCAACACCGGATGAGGAGGCCAAGTCGAGATTTGTCAAGGAGCTCGCCAGATATGATGCCGTTGTTTGTGGACCAGGTCCGGGCAATCCGGGCAACCAACGGGATGTTGGCGTTATGAGGTTTATTTGGGAACTGGAGGAGGGGAATGTCCTGCCAGTGCTTGGAATCTGCTTGGGCTTTCAGAGCCTTGTCAATTCTTGCCAGGGAGGTCAGGTCAAGAGACTGAGAAGGGGGTTGCATGGTATGGTCAGAACAATCATCCACCGTATGGACTCAGTTGCGCCGGTGGAGGGTGACATTTTTGCCGGGGTGAACGGGTTCAAGGCAACGCTGTATCACAGCTTGTGTGGCCATATTGGACAGGAGGGCATCGACCAACAAGAATGGGAGGAAGCTCGGTGGCAGCCTCAGGACGGCTGCCCTGAGTTGTTGCCGCTGGCCTGGGTGGAGGAACAGCGTGAAGAGGGCGAGGGTTTCGAAGCTGGAACGGAAAGAATCCTCATGGCTGTCAAGCACAGGACCAAGCCGTTCTGGGGTGTGCAATATCATCCCGAGTCGGTGTGCACAGAAGAGGAGGGCAACAAGATCATTGTCAACTGGTTCGAGGAAGCACTCGGGTGGAATCAAAAACACAAGAGGACGACCCTGGTGGATGGACACAACCTGGCAGAGGCTGCCATCAAGCCGAGCCTGCTCTCTCAGCTCACACCGTCAGGAGAACCTAGGGCTTCGGGACAGTGGTGGGAGAAGTTTGAGTCTGACCCAGTTTTGCGCTCTGTCTCGGTGCCCTTGCCTCGCGGCATTCAGGTCCCGGATATCGTAGAGGCAGTTGATCCCGATGCCTCTGAGCGGATCATCCTGGACTCGGCCAACGCGGCACCTGCCAAATCGAGTGCTGATGTTCGCGGCAGATACAGCATTATTGCGGCTGGTCTGGACGAAGCCCTGCGTCTTGAATACCACGCCGGCGATGACTATGCCACCACCAAGCTCAAGGCTGTTGGGGGAATGTCAGTTAACTTGTCACAGCAGGTTCCGATTGCCAGATATGGCAGCATCTGGGCTCTGATTGCAGCCTTCCAAGACGCAAGACATATCGACGTCGAAGGGCCCGAGACGACCCCTTTTCTGGGAGGTTTTATGGGATACGTTACCTACGAGCAGGGGCTCATGGACATTGGCATCAATCTCGACCACCCTCGCCCCCACCATCGACCAGACGTCTGCCTGAGCTGGATCACCAAGAGCATCGTCATTGACCACCTCGCCGGCGTCGTCCACGTGCAACACCTCCGCTCTAGCGGCTCAGAGGAAGACACCTGGCTAGAGAAAACAACCGGCAAACTCCTCACCCTCCAAAACATCCAACGCCGGCCGTCCTTCAACTCCAAAAAAGACAACACCCAACTCCCCCAATCCCCCACCAAACGCCGCCCATCCCGCAGCACCACCTCCATCCAAACCCCCTTGACAAAAGAGTACGAGGACAAGGTCCGGCTCTGCCAAGAACACATCGCCGCGGGGGAGTCGTATGAACTCTGCCTGACAGACCAAACAACCATCACCCGTCCCCTCAGCGATGTCCAACCACCCCTATCACCTACACAACCCAAACACCCCCGCCTCTCCTCCTCCCCCGCCACCCGGCCCAACTCCTGGTCCTTGTTCAAACACCTCCGCATCCGCCAACCCGCCCCCTTCGCGTCCTACCTCCGCCTCCACCCGGCAACCCTCGTCTCCGCCTCCCCCGAGCGTTTCCTAACCTACGACCGTCAAGGGAAATGTTCCATGCGTCCGATGAAAGGCACAGTCCGCAAGTCGGACATTTGCTCCACCCTCTCCCAAGCAGAGAACATCCTCCACGTCCCCAAAGAGGAGGCGGAAAACCTCATGATTGTTGATTTAGTTCGTCACGACTTGCACTCCATCTGCGGAGCGGGGAATGTGACTGTGCGGGATCTGCTAAAGGTGGAGGAGTATCAATCTGTGTTTCAGATGATCACTGTTGTTGAGGGGCAGTTGCCTAGACAGGGGGGGTATGGTGGGTTGGATGCGCTGGCGGGGGCGCTGCCGCCGGGGAGTATGACGGGGGCGCCGAAGAGGAGGAGTTGTGAGATACTCAGGGGGGTGGAAGGGGGGAGGGAGAGGGGGTTGTATTCGGGGGTTGTGGGCTATCATTGTGTTAGCGGACGGGGGGATTGGAGCGTTACGATCAGGAGTTTGTTTAGGTGGGATGATGAGGTGGGGAGGGAGGGGGGGGAGGAGGAGGTTTGGAGGATTGGGGCCGGGGGTGCGGTTACGATACTGAGCACGGAGGTGGGGGAGAGGGAGGAGATGTTTACCAAGTTGGCGGGGCCGTTGAGGGTTTTTGGGGAGGTTTGTTAAGGGTGTGGTAGGTTGAAGGATGGGATAGATGTGCAAATGCAGAGCACACTCAACGTGTGTCTGGTGGTTTGGCAGATTTCGGAATAAACAGGGCATCTGGTTTTCAACATGGGCATGTCGGCGCGGGCGTTTTCTTTTTTTTTTGTAGTATTATCCAATGATGTATATGGTAGACTCAACAATGCAAAACTTCGAAGGTAAGGAAGCAATGCTTTAACGCACTGTTTCGGTGTGGTGTGCGGGCAGAGAGGATAGATATGGTCAGAGATACACAACCTCTAAACGGCTTTTATCAACCACTATTGCTTCCTTTTCAGAACTCACGCCTTTGAGAGTCAAGTGGATTGGGCTTGCTGTCGACATTTTGTGCCAACTATAATCCGTTAACCTAGCAGTCTGCACTGTCACAACCTGACCTTGAAACTGGGCTCCCCCTCGAGCAGCCACCTGTGGGAGAGCATGTCATATTTCACCACCGTCTGCAGGTGAGCCTGCATGCGCGGCTTGGTTGAGGAGGTATATTCAATGAATTCCAGGGTGACGGGATTTGTTCTCAACCTCCTGACACGGGGAAGGTAATGTTGCTGCACGAAAGCTCGATCAACGAGCCGCATCTCTTTGACATATATGAAACGGATGGGGATACCATTGTGGACATAGTCAAGGAATTCCTTCTCAATTCTATCAAAGAATATCTTTTCCTCCACGGTCAAGTCCATGACCAGGGATATGTTGCTCGAGATTTTGAAACTTATTTGAACATGTTTGTAGTGTTTGAAGCGGGGAAGCTGGGCTGCCGAAGTATTTCAAGATGTGAACGCGAGGCTGGGCAATGTACGAGCGGGCAGAGGTGATTGGGCTGTTGGTAATCATCCTGGTAAGGCCCCATCCAGCCTTGGTAGAATATGGATGGCTCTATCCAGGCCATGGGTTTCCAAACAAGGCAAAAAGACTCGCCAGCATTGCTTCCTTGAAACATATCAAAACAACAAGAATATTGAGAGAAAATACCTTGATTTATCCCCTCCTAACCTCAGTCCCAACTTTCCAAAGACTATCAACCGAAAAAAACAAATCCCACACACCATTCTGTCGTTCCCACCTTCGCTACCTGCCCCATCCTCCCATGACATGATTGCATACCTTTCGTCGAACACCGGTAATTGTACAAAAATCAAAATAATGGATAAAACAAGCTCCAACACCATCGCCTTTCCCTATTCCTCATCATAAAGCTACCCCCATCATCGTCAATCTCCCGAACCCTCCATCCGCTCATGGGTATCCATCTCCCCATCACTCATTCAAGAATCATCCCCTTCCCCCTAAAACTCCTGCTCCTCCTGAAAAAACTGCCCAAAACTTATAATCGTCCCATAAATCAACAACCCACCCACAATGCTCATCACCGCCGCCGCCGTGGCGATAATCCCGCTATGCGCCAGCACCACCGGGAGCGCGATGCCCATCACGACCAAGAACCCGGTGCAGAACCGGCCCAGGTCGAGGATGGCGGCGCCCGAGCTCTCGACAAAGTCGTCGGGGTTGGCGCAGTGGGAGCATATCCAGTTGGGCACCGGGGCGAGGACGTAGGTGGCGACGACGAGGAGGGGGTGGTATTTGGAGTAGAGGGCGCAGGAGAGGATGACGAGGAGGAAGCCGAGGGCGAGGACGAAGGAGAGGGCTATGATTGTTTTTAGGCCGGCGGTGGGCATTGTGACGGTTGGTTGGCTGAGGTGTGAGGCGGGGGGGCTGGGGTTGGGGGTGTGTTGAGCGAGTGTATGTGTCGTTGCGATGGGATGATTGATTATGACCTGGCTGATACTAACAGGCCGTATCTCGAGTCGGTATCCCTGGGTGCGGTCGTGTGCGATGACGGTGGCGTCAGAGTTGGAGGCTGTCTACGTGTGTTGGAGCTTGCTTGCGTTCTTGCCTGTGACCTGTGACGCCGACGCCGCGGACGGCTGGGTAGGTCAGCCTTGGCGGGCTCCCCTGTGCGGCTGGCAGGCGCTAACCCTGAATAAGCTAGTTCAGTATAAACCAAGGCCCGTGCTTTCCCCAAAAAGCGGATAACGTACCTCTGCGGCAGGCGACGACGAAGCTAGGAGCTGCCTGGGGGAGTTGCTGAGGTAGCTGGGTGGGAGCTCGACCATCAACCACAAACACCGCCTTACCACACTGCAACTTGACGACTAGACCACAACCACTTTCTCTACCACCTTGATACCAAATCGAACCGTCAGGGTTGATCATCGTGACTTGAACTGCACCTCGGATCAGACAAACAGCACAGTCGAACAGGCCGCCACCATGTTCAGGAACAACTACGACAACGACTCGGTCACATTGTAAGTTTGCTTGCTTGCTATTGCTGCTGCGACTCGGGGCATCCCACCTTTTTGGTCAACATCGCTGACTGACACACTCTCTCACCAACCCAGCTCCCCACAGGGGCGGATATTCCAGGTCGAGTATGCAGCCGAAGCAGTTAAGCAGGGTTCAGTCGTAGTAGGAATCGCCAGCAAAACACACGCCGTCCTCGTAGCGATCAAGGTGCGTCCCCCCCCCACCTTTTAACTAACACTTATCACATCTAACACTTCATGCCCTCCGCCTCCCCCCCCCCCCCAGCGCAACGCAGAAGAACTCTCCTCGTACCAAAAGAAACTCTTCCCCATCGACGAGCACGTCGGCATCGCCATCGCCGGCCTCACCTCGGACGCCCGCGTCCTCTCCAACTTTATGAAGCAGCAATGCCTCGGCCACCGCCTCACCTACTCCCGCAACATGCCCATCCGCTCCCTCGTCGACATGATCGGCTCCAAAGCCCAGATCAACACGCAGCACTACGGAAAGCGCCCCTACGGCGTTGGTCTCCTCGTCGCCGGCGTGGACGATTCCGGCCCTCACCTCTTTGAATTTCAACCGTCGGGCATGACGGAGGAGATGATTGCCTTTGCCATTGGTGCCAGGTCCCAGATGGCGAGGACGTATCTCGAGAGAAACCTGGACAAGTTCAAGACCAGCACACGGGAGGAGCTGATTGAGCATGGGTTGAGGGCGCTGAAGGAGAGTTTGGTGCAGGATAGGGAGTTGACGGTGGAGAATACCAGTGTGGGTGTGGTGGGCTATGTCAAGGAGACGAAGAAGACGGAGCCGTTTCAGGTGTTTGATGGGCACGAGGTGCAGAGGTATTTGGAGCTGGTGGCGGATGATAAGAAGGAGGGGGGCCCTCAGGCGGCGACGGTGGAGGATGAGAGCACGGCGATGGATGTTGATGCGTAGAGAGCAATAATGGCCGAGTTATTGTATGAAGGAATCCTGGCGCACTGAGGGAGGTCAGTCCGGAGTTCTTTGCTCGGTTGTCGGTGCAGATGCAAATGCAGTTGTTGCAGTTGATTACGCAGATGGAAATTGATGACCCTTTGTGGGTCGGGCTTTGTGATTATTATGCAGGCCCAGCGCTTTGGAAGAGATAGAGAAAGCACTTCCGAGCATGAAAAGCTACATCAGAGTCTGAGATGGGCCACTGATTTCGCCTGAGCGAAAGGAGTCTTGATTTATGATGTTTTTGTTTTCTGGCCATTCCATCTAGTTTCTCCGTCCATCTATCACATTCCCTATTGCGAGCTCCAGTTCAACTTGAGCGCCGCGTCTGACACCTTGTACTCTTCCAACGCCCTGATCGCCTCCTCTGCTGTCTTGGCCTCGACAAGGATGTTCTTGTTCCCACCGTGGATAAACCCCTCTTCTACGCTCTTGTTGATCCACTGCCTGATGCCATCGTAGAAACCGTTGATGTTGAGAATGACGATCCCCTTGTTGTGAATGCCCAGCTGGTTCCACGTCATGGTCTCAAACAGCTCCTCCAAGGTACCGTACCCGCCTGCCAGGGCGACGAAACCGGAGCCTGGGCCACCGTCGAGGACCTCTTGGGCCATGAGGCGTTTTCGGGTGTGCATGTCGGGGACGATGGTTGTCCGGCCGAAGACTGTCTCTTCCGGGACTGTCAGGGAGGAGGTGGAGGAGGTATGGGGACGGGAGGAAGGGTTGGACGGGTCGGGGATGGTGGAGGAGTAGTTTGCGTCGCGCTCGTAGCGGACGAGGGCTTCGGGGATTATGCCGTGGACTGAGTCCGGTCCGGAGAGGGAGACGAGGGTACGGGCTACTTCGCCCATTAGGCCTACTGTGCCGCCTCCGTAGACTGGAGATTTGTTGTTAGGACTGGAGAGAGTCAAAGGGAGGCGGAGGAGGTACCTAGTTGGATGTTGTTTTTGGCCATTTCTCTTGCGAGTGAGCGGGCGGCTTCAACGTAGATGGGGTTAAAGCCTGGGGAGGCGCCGCAGTAGACGCAGATTTTTGTGCGCTTGGGGGTGGTTTCGTTGTTGTTGTTGTTGCTGTTGTTGTTGTTGCTGTTGTTGTTGTTGTTGGCGTCGCCTGATTCCATGATGGGCGAGTTGTGGTGTTTACGAGGGGATTTGTTGGTGGTAAGGCGCAAAGAAGATTAGATGGGACGGCGGGCTGGTATGGAAGGGGTGGTGTATACAAGTCCAACTGTGAGCTGTCGTCTGAGTCACTCGGGATAAGCAAGTTGACTGGAAGCAACCTGGAGGATTTATTATGCGCTTCTGGGAAAGAGTCCGAGGATCCCCTGGTTGATGACGCTCGGCGAACCTCTAAACAAGGGCGGCTGCTGGTGAGAGTAGTGGAGTTGGTTCTTATTTAAACGAATTGGAATCGCAAGACAAGATGTAGAAGGTGGCAGTCAAAGGGAGGCTCAGTGAGATTTCGTCGAGGTGTAGATAATAGACCCGAGCAAAGCACCGTCCTTGGAAACTAGGAAGAAATGAACAGCGAGACTGGGATGATACTTATATATGTTTGAACATGAGAGACACAACTCGGTCGACATGGACCTGAAAGGCGACCCGCGGGATTGAACGACCTGTTGGCCGTGAACGTGGACCTTTGATGAAGCCAGATGTGGGCCAGATGTATGACATAACGGCGGCTCGTCTTTGACGAATCGAACGGCGCCGAACACCACACGAGCTTCACAAGGCCAAATCATGGGATTGGGAATCCCCCAATATAGAGATAAAATGGCCAAACGTGGCAGTCACGAGACGGCACCGTTGTCCTATCAAACTTGATGCTAGTTTTGTCGTTGTACAGTGATTCGTCGGGTCCCAGACTACCTCAACTTACTTGTCTTCACAAGTCTGCATCGATGAATGGAGGGAGGGGTTCAATGGCCGGTGGAGGGGCGGGCGGTGCCGTGGGGCAAGATTCGGGCGGTGAGAGCTCCCCTTGGTCTGTGCATAAGCTTTCCGGACAGGCAGTCGATGGCCCCACTTTATTTTGGCGATACAAATTGTGGTTGACTCAATTGCAGCGAACTCTCACTCTCTTTCTTTTTTTCTTCTGCGTGAAGCCTCGTCCTCTTCAACGCTGCGTTTCTATGCGACAAACGGAAAGTCTTGTTCACACACTACTTTCGACCTCTTCGGAGGATCCTTTACGCATATGAGAAATTCGGAGAATCTGCTTCACACCAGTTCGTCCGTCCCACAGCCTTCCTCGGAGGGTTGTGTCGATGGGTCGCGAGCTCTGCCGGTGACGGCTTGACGCAACTCTGCGTCTGTAATTGGCATCAGAAAAGCAGGGCCCAGGAGAGGCTGCTTTGGCGGTTTTCTTGCTGGTGTCCCTCTGGGAGAGTCATTACGAAGCTTGTGAGAAAATCACTTGAGTGCAATACGCGGCGTGTGGCTGTCTCTCTTCGGACGGGCAGCCTCATCCTTCGATTCCGATTACTCTGTTGAGGACGAGGCTTCACCACCTTTTTTCTTTCTTCAGGTAAGCAGTTGTTTCTATCCTCGATGTTCGGAATACTACTAACGAAACTCGATGCTGTTGGCATCATATGACCAGGATTTGGGACCTTCGGCAGACGCTGGAAATACCCGACGAGCTCCTGTATAAGGGAGCGTCAAGCCTCGCAGCTGAGGCTGATGAAGATATCCGTCACATCATGGACTTTTGACTGTCTTGGTATCCGATAGCTTTACCATAGCCCCTAATAAAAGATGAACTTAAAATGCCCTGTCTTATTCTTAATATGTGCCTAAAGTGAAGCAAACAAAACAGCACCTTGTTGAAATATGTGGGGTGCATGGACCCCCACCCAGCCTCGGGAGCTGCCGTGGAACCGTGGCCTCGTCCCTGACTTTGATTTGCAGCGCCGGCCGGCCGGCCACTTCAGTGATCCAGGGCCTGGAATTACGCCACGACGCTAGACAGAAAGCGCAACGTCCGTCTCGGAAAACGTGCCCTTTGCAAAGACGACGTTTTTTTTTTCTTTGGATTTTTCTTGTCCTTATTTCCAAACGTCTTCCCATATGAACTAAAGTCAACTCCGGAATCAATAAAATCGCCCAAGATGCCGGAACCCGTCGCGGCAGCAGGCGCTGAGCCTGCTCGCCAGGAGGAGCAAGGCGTAGGTTGATATGCTACCCAACGGCTGGCTGTCTTTGACCATGTTCACTAACAATGGCTCCAGCAATCGATGCTCATGAAAATATTCCAAGGTCTTGCGATGTGGATGGCCATGCAGTTTGTTATGAAACAGTTCACAGGAGGCGGCCAAAAGACCACGTCTGTCACCAACGCCGACGGACAGGTAGTCCAAGTCGCAACTGGTGCCATACCACCATACCATGAGCGCCCACGACAGCTGAACGACGGAGCTGTCTACAGCCATATTCCCCAATCCATCGCCCCAATCTGGCCAGACAACAGCGCCGTCGATATCATCGTTACCGTTTCCCCGTCATTCGTTGCTGAGCCTCTCGACAAGCTACCCAAGGACACCATTGTCTTTCAGGAGAAGGGGTTCAGGATTGGAAACTGGAGCGACTCAAGAGTTGCCGAGGGAACTATCAATGTGCCAGTTCCTGTTCAGAAAAACGGCACTCTCTGGGGACACTTTTATATTGGATTGCCCGGCGCCCCTCTCGATCCGACTCGGCGCAATTACGATCCTGGTGCTGCTTATCACTTTGTTCACCCTCTGACGCAGTACATCCCCAAGAAGAAGGAGTCCAAGACGAGGAACTTGCTATCCGACAATGCCGAGGTGGAGGAAGTCGTGGTGGAGGATGAGCCCGAGCAGGCTGGCCCGATTGTCGCCAACTACTACCACCCCAACGTGTCGCTGTCCTTCATCCCTGGTAGCGGCACGTTTTCGTTTCCTCAGGCTCATCCAGCTATTCGCCAGTATATCCGTCTCGAGGCAACAGGTGCCCGTGACGGAACTGGCCAGAATGGATGGTACTACCCCATCCTCTTCGTCAACACCTTCTGGCAGCTCAAGTCCAAGATGACCATCGTGAACGAGACCGTGACCACTTTGCCCATCCGCATTGACCTCAACAACCTGGCCGACTGGAAGTTCAAGCTCATGGCCCCCATTGAGACGAACAGCAAGGAACAAGCTCGCCAGGCGGCCTGGGGAGGCGGCATGTCAGCCGGTGGTGGCGACGGCAGCGAGATCGAGATGGTCAAGGAGATCTTCATGGACACCAACCCCATCCTCCTCTGCGTCACCATCATCGTCAGCATCGCGCACATGATCCTCGAGACTTTGGCTTTCGGCTCTGATATCGCCCATTACCGCAAGAAGAAGGACAATGTTGGTATTTCCGTCAGATCCATCCTCGCCAACGTCTTCATGCAAACCGTCATTTTCCTCTACCTGATCGACCAATCCCAAAACACCTCCTGGATGATCCTCGGCGGCCAAGGCGTTGGCATCCTGATCGAACTCTGGAAAATCACCACCGTCGTCAACGTCCGCGTCCGCGCCTCCCCCAACTCCCTCATCCCTTACCGCATCTCCTTTGAAGACAAGCACAAGCTCAGCACCACGGAGCAAAAGACTAAAGAGTACGACGAGATCGCCTTCAAGTACATGTACATGGCCGGCGTGCCTCTCCTCCTCGCCTACGCGGTTTATTCCCTGGTGTATGAAACCCACAAGTCGTGGTACAGCTACATCATCGCTACGCTTGTCGGTTCGGTCTACGCCTATGGGTTCTTGATGATGCTGCCGAGCTTGTATATCAACTACAGACTGAAAAGCGTGGCGCACATGCCGGGCAAGGCGATGATGTACAAGTTTCTGAACACGTTTATTGATGACTTGTTTGCGTTTACGATCAAGATGCCGTTTCTGCATCGGTTGGCGACCTTGAGGGATGATGTGATTTTCTTTATTTATATTTATCAGAGGTGGGTGTACAAGGTTGATTATACCAGGGTCAACGAGTTTGGTCAGGGGGGTGATGAGGATGAGGAAGAGGAGGAGGAGGAAGGGGCCAAGAAGATTGAGGAGAAGAAGAAGGAAGGGGAGGTTGTGGAGGAGCCGAAGGAGGAGAAGGAGGAGGCGGTTAAAGTGACGGGGGCTGAGAAGAAGGGGAAGGCGACCAAGAGGAAATGAGGTGTTGCCATGGGAGTGGGAGGTTGCTGGTGTGTAATTACGTAGATTTTAGCATTACATGAATTCATGTCAAAACATGGGCAAAATAGGGAGAACCGAGGTGATCTCATGACCATTGTAAACCCTTGATATTCACATGTTAGCCCCCAAGCTCTGCTTGCCTAGCCAGTTGCTCGCATGCCTTTGCTCATCTTTATACATATTCAAACATGTCGCTTTCCCAATAACTCCAAATGCTCACGTCCATCCGCCTCATTAGTTCCAATACATCTCCCCCTTCCCGCAGTGCTTACCCGCTAGAAAAACCTCCACCAGACAAAAATCAATATAAACAACCCCAACCCGGCAAAAGGCCCATACTGCTTCAGCATCAAATCCCAATTGATCCTCACGGCCGCCTTGCGATACTTTGCGCTATCATCCCTCAACCTACTGCTCAACTCGCCCATCCTCTCCAGGCTGTCCCCCCGATACAGCAAATCCTCAATATTCTTGGTCATGACCTTTGTCACGTCCCTCAGCTCATCATTGAGCTTGTCCAGGTTCTGCGTCGCCCTCGCGTCAGAATAGGTAGCTTTTGTCCGGCTGATGAAGGTGTCAAACTCCATAAAGGCGTAGGGGCGGAGGATGGTGGACATGAGCTGCTGCTGGGGGTAGGTGGTGGAGAACTCGGTGGCGAGGTCGGAGAGGTAGGTGAAGGCGAGCTTGCGGGGGTAGGAGGCGTCGGTGATGGTGAGGTAGACGATGTCGGACTGGAGGAGGTAGTGGATTGTGTAGGCGCCTGACGAGATGCTGGCTTGGGGGTTGGAAGTGCGGGTTAGGCGGCGGAGGATGAGCTTGATTTGGGATTTTACTTCGGCTAGGTCGGGGGGGTCGGAGGGGGACGTGTCTGTTGAGGCGCAGAGCATTACTCCTATTGGGGGGGGGGGGGGGGGGGTTAGTTGATGAAGGGGCGGTGGGGGGGAACGTGTAGGGGAAAAGGGGGAACGGACCGTCTATGCGGGCGATTTGGGTTGAGCGGATCATTTTGATTTGAGGAGGAGGAGGAGGGGGGGGAGGAGGAGGAGGAGGAGGTGGTGGTGGTGGTGGTGGTGCGGGTGGTGAAGTTGTTTGGCTTGGTATTGCGGCTGTTGCTGATGCTGGTCGCAAAGGTGTCAAAGACCAGCCAGGTTACCTTTGGGCAGGCGCAAGTGTACGTGGCTTTTTTGGTTGGAGAGGTGTCGTCCTTCAGCTTCGGCTCCGGGGCTTATTGCAGCGGGTCGGTGAAGAGCAATACAGTAGGGAGGCACGGGCGGGTATCTGAATTGACTGAAAGAAAAGATGGAGCAAGTGTCATCCCAAGCCCTGTTGCTGACGTGCTACGGTACGTTGTCAATGATGCAAATGTCTTACAGAGACAGGGGCAGCTAGCTGTAGGGGAGAAAGCTGCCGCATGTGTGTAAGGCTGACCAATCATAAAAAAGAAGTTGCTGTGGTAATCGGCAATCTGCTCCACTTTGAATACTGCACCTGCCTGATGCCACAGCCTTGTAATACATCCACGTTCACCTTCCCTTTACTCTGTCAGTGGGAACGACGTGTTTCTCTGCCTTTCAACTTTGCCCGTTGGCATTCCCTCTTCTCACACAAACATCAGACAACATTGCCAGCCCAGGTCATATTACAGCAGCACATACAGTACCGAGTATCCATCAGTCTCTTACTCGCTTGTTATGTAACAAACATCGCATCGTTGACCACCCACCATCCTCCAATCTTTTTTTTAAATTACTTTTGTTCCCAGTCACGACCGGATCCGGCGATCAAAAGCCCCCAGAGAAACCTAAACCATCATTCCAGTACTTATTTGGAGCTATCAGCAACGATGGGTGACTCTAACTCTGGTGCGATAAGGGCCCTGTCGAAGAGTCCTGATGTCCAAAGCCCCGGGGCCCCGCCCAAGGGTCCTGAAAACACGCCCTATCGAGACTTCGATCGCGAAATCCCGCATTCTCAAGAGGATGATGACGACGGCGGTTACGCTGACTACTCTCGAGCCACAAGAGGCTCCAATAAGCGTAGAAGCTGTGACGAGCCTCTGGTTTCAAGGTCTAAGAAGGCCAAGACTGCTGCTCAGTCCAAGGCGGGGCTTAAGAGAGCCCGTAAATTCCAACACCCGCAAGTTTGGGGAAAGAATTCAGGTCTCTTGCAGCTGCGCAACGGCAATGCCCTTCGCGTACGTATACCTTGACACCACGAATTCCGCGCTGAGGCTGACCCTATTTTGCCAAAGGATTTGTTGTTGGCTCCTGGATCATGGAACCGTTTGGGCGAGGCCGATCGCCAGACCATCTTGGCCAAATTGCCCAACGGATACCAGCTTGACGGGAAACCCGATGTTGCATCTCTGACAAACGACAACAACTTTCGCGACGACTGCTCGCAATACTACAACAGCATCCGGGACGGCCATCTAACTGAGAATTGGCTTACCAAGGCATGGAAAGCCCACTACAAAGATGTGCGCGGCGATTTCAAGAAGCATCTTTTCAATGCGTTCATGGACAACTTCATGGAGGATGCTTCTGAGAAGCCCAAGAGGGCCGACAAGGGAACGGGCAACGAATTGGGAACTGAATCCAGCAAGAAGACGGAAACGGAGACCAGCAAGAAGACGGACACCGAGGCCAGCAAGAAGACGGACGCAGAGTTTAGCAACGAGGCCGACACCGAGACCAGCAAGAAGACGGACACCGAGACCAGCAAGAAGCCGGACGCAGAGTCGAACAAGAAAGCAGACACAGAGTCTAGCAAGGAGGCCGACACAAATTCCAGCATGAAGACGGACACAGATTCCGGCAAGAAGACGGACACCGAGGCCAGCAAGCAGCCGGACGCAGAGTCGAACAAAAAAGCAGACACAGAGTCTAGCAAGGAGACCGAGGCTGAGGCCAGCAAGAAGGCTGATGACGAACTGGCGCCGGCTGGTGACAACAAAACACAAGATGCCACTGGCAAAGCTCCTTCGCCCAAGGCCACTGACTAGAATAAGGGGCCGAAGCGAAACCCGCCTCGCGCCGTGAAGCGCACACGAGACGAGATGGATGCGGGGTCAGTTGAGAAGAGGCCGCAGGAACCGAAGGCCAAGGGGAAAGCGGTGGACGAGAATCCCACGTCAGACAAGAGGATCACACGGTCCCAGACTCATTCAGGGCGTGGAAAAAGGAAAGGTGGTTCCGGGGGCTGGTCTTTATATCGCATTTCAGAGACGAGATTTGATGGGAAGACTGAGGAATTTCAAGGCGACCCTGAAGATTCTGAAGCTGCTCGTGATGCAGCAGGAGAGTCTTCCAAGTCGGGGCCTGCTGATGTTCAGAAATCTCGTGACGAGGGAAAGGGTAAAGAGCGTGATGACAATGGCGGAGATGATGGTTGTGGAGGGGGTCATGGCGGGAACAGCGACGGTGACAAGAATGATGATGGCAAGAAGGGGGATGGAGATGGGCCGGGTGACAAGAAGAAGGGCAATGAAGAAGAGGAGGATGTGGAAAAAGAGGATGAGGAAGAGAAGGATGAGGAAGAGAAGGATGAGGAAAAGAATGATGACAACGATCAGGCCAGCGGACAGACCGGTCTTGAAGATACACCAGATGAAGAAGCCCCCAGGCCTGGCTCTTCCGGCTTTCAGCCTGCATCTAGGAGTCGAAAAAGATCCCGACCATTATCTTCATCCTCGGCCGGTGGACAATCACCCAGACTCGGCTTTTCGCCTCGATCTAGAACTCGAGAAGCATCCCCATCATTTTTGACACCTTTGGCCCGTGGACAAACCCCTCGTCCCAGGCCTCAAGGAGGATCCCAACCATCATCTTCTTCTTTGGCCGGAGGAGAAACGCCCAGGCCTCGCCAAACGCGGGACGATCGAAGAGCCCGCAGACCCAACCAAAGAGATTACCAAATGCTCGCCACGTACCGTGGACGCGGATCTTCAGCGGATTTGGGTGACCCTCGATTGGTACAATCCCGATGGGATCCGACGGAGGCAAGTTGGCTGAACTTGAGTAACGGGGCCACGATGCAATGGTCGGTAACACACCAGCCCGCAACATATCAGCCTGGCCCAGTAGAGCAGTCTGTAGAGCAGTCTGTAGAGCAGTCTGCAGAGCAGTCTGTAGAGCAGTCTGACCCAGAAGAGCACGACAGTCTGAATTCTCTGTTCCCTCGCAACCTACTGTTGATACCTGACAGAAGGTCGCCACGTGACGTAATGAGACGGGTATCGGAGTGGGTTATTACGCAGGATTATGCGCCTTCACCCCTTTTGCAGACCATAGCATCATTTTCCGAAACGTCCTCGTCGACTTCACCAAGCCTCAACCTGGCAGCTTCGCCGACATTCAACACACCTGCGAGGGGGGGATACTCGGTCTACGATGGTATAACCGGTAACGAACTTCCACCGGACCCTCCCCGGCCCCGTCGCGTGACGCCTTCTCCGCTGTCGCCCGCTCCCGCGGTGCCCCCTCGCCCTGACGTTGAGGGTTCTTCGCGCCCTGGAAGTCCTCCGCCTGAGGGTGACTTGGACTCTTCTGACACTAACCGATATCTCCCCGACAGCCCGCTTCCCGACGAACGAGACATGTACCCATTGTTATTTTTTCCTCCCGGTGGCCCAATTTGCGCGATCAATTCCCCGGGGGGAAGAATCTTTCAGGTAGCCTCGCCGGGACCATCACTGGTTGTTGTCCACCGCGAATCGCAGTCCATTTTCGCCGTTCCACCTTCCAATGCCCGCTTTTCGCCCAGGGGTGAACTTCGACCGTTTGGAAGGTCTTATGGGTGTGGCACTTTGTTGCCGGGTCTTGTGAGTCCGCTTACTCGTGTTTCGCCCCGGGCTGAGCTGCTGCCGGCCCCGCCGGGTGTTTCGGAGACTGTGTATGAGAATCTGAATGGGATGGCTGGACGAGATGAGGAAGAGGGTGAACTTGGTAGTGCTGAAATGGATTTGGACGGGGATGAGAGTTCAGGTGAGGAGGCTATGTCCAGGCTGAGTATCATGGGTCCAAGGGATGAGATTGGTAGTGTTGAAGGGGATTTGGATGAGGGTGAGAGCACAGGTGGTGAGGGTTCGTCTGTGCAGTAATGGTGTTGAGCGCTGGAGAGGGGGAAGGATGTTCTCAGCAGAGCGAGTTGGGAATTGTGTTTTTTTTTTTTTGGTGTTGGGGAGTTGTTTTGCCAAGAGATACCCCTTATTGGGCAGCGATAGGAAGTTTTTTGGGGCGAGAAGTAGAACAATAACGAGAATTTGATGATGCGACTGCCTTTTTATTTTTTTGGTGCAGATAATATGTCTCATGCTACATATATACTCCGATTCGAAGAAACTAAACCATTGTTGAAAGGGGCTGGGTTGTCACCCTTGCCACAAAATAATTAACATGGGAAGGAGGTTAACCCATATTATATTGTGAACCATGGCTTGTCGATAGGGCTTTTGAGATATTTGGAAGGGTTCTACTACTATTGAGGTGTGGTTTATAGTATGGTACAGGTCAGCTTTGTTTTTGCTGTGCCAAGTATTTTACGGGGAGGGTGGTGTGGTTGTCTTGTAAGGCGTGGTGACAAGAATGCTCTTGGGCGTATTGAGATGGCTGAAAGGGGGTATAGAAACCACCAAACTAAATCTCATCCTCCTCCTCATCAAAATCGTCCTCCCTCCCCATGTCATACAATATCCTGCCCCCCTCCCCCCCACCCACCTCGGTCTGGGCGTCAAAGTAGGGGAGAACAACGCCTTCGCGGTCGCGGCGTTGTTTTTCGGTGAGGCCGAGGTTGAAGGTAGCTTGGATTCCTTCCCCCTCCTCTTCCGTTGTTGCTGTGGAAAAAGCGGGGTGGTCAGACAGGAGGATCACTCCGCCGACACCCTTTGTTTGTTGTCGGTGTTGAGCGGTTGTTGTTGGGGGTGACGGGAAGAGGACGAACTTCTCTTGGACGACGCGGCCTGATTTGCGGCGGAGTTCCATCGTTATCACCACCCCTTGGGGGGAGGATGGGGGGCGGAGGGAGAGGAGGACGCCTTCGCGGGATGAGTGGAGGCCGAAGACC